AACCGTCACCCACAAGACAATAGCAGTCCTACACATGACAACCATCAGCCACAAGACAATAGCAGTCCTACACATGACAACCATCACCCACAAGACAATAGCAGTCCTACATAGGACAACCATCACCAACAAGACAATAGCAGTCCTACACATGACAACCATCACCCACAAGACAATAGCAGGCCTACACATGACAACCATCAGCCACAAGACAATAGCAGTCCTACATAGGACAACCATCAGCCACAAGACAAAGCAGTCCAACACAGGACAACCATCAGCCACAAGACAATAGCAGTCCTACATAGGACAACCATCAGCCACAAGACAATAGCAGTCCTACACATGACAACCATCAGCCAGAAGACAATAGCAGTCCTACATATGACAATCATCACCAACAAGACAATAACAGTCCTACACATGACAAACGTCACCCACAAGACAATAGCCATCAGCCACAAGACAATAGCAGTCCTACATAGGACAACCATCACCCACAAGACAATAGCAGTCCTACACATGACAATCATCACCAACAAGACAATAACAATTCATACACATGACAAACGTCACCCACAAGACAATAGCAGTCCTACACATGACAACCACCAGCCACAAGACAATAGCAGTCCTACACATGACAACCATCAGCCACAAGACAATAGCAGTCCTACATAGGACAACCATCACCAACAAGACAATAGCAGTCCTACACATGACAACCATCACCCACAAGACAATAGCAGGCCTACACATGACAACCATCAGCCACAAGACAATAGCAGTCCTACACATGACAACCATCAGCCACAAGACAATAGCAGTCCTACACATGACAACCATCACCCACAAGACAATAGCAGTCCTACACATGACAACCATCAGCCACAAGACAATAGCAGTCCTACACATGACAACCATCACCCACAAGACAATAGCAGTCCTACATAGGACAACCATCACCCACAAGACAATAGCAGTCCTACACATGACAACCATCAGCCACAAGACAAAACAGTCCAACACAGGACAACCATCAGCCACAAGACAATAGCAGTCCAACACATTACTATTTTCATTTGAGAGATTGACAGACATTCACTTTGCTCACCAAACTGTTGTACTACAGATACGTACCCCAGGTATGTTTCTGTATACAGATATGTACCCTAAACAAAGTCAAAATACAGAAACGTAGCCGGTACCCTAAAAGGCGGACGAGTCCATATTCCGCAATCCAAACCTGAAACTGTATGTAGTTGTTCCTGTCCAACTGATTGGGAGTGGTATTCATATGCATCGTGAAATATCCGTTACTGTGTATTCTCATTACTTCCATAACACAATCAAATGTAACTAATACAACAACATGACAGTTCCGATCAAGACTGGAAATGGAATCGTCCTAGGGTACATTTCTGTATTCTCATTATGGCAACGGTACATATCTGTAGTACCCGTGCCGACAACGGCAGGATCTGGCCTTAATGACCTAGATAGGCCCGCCAGATCCTGCCTCATCAATGTTATGTCATAGACACAGTATGTTCTAAGTTGAAACAGCATCCTGAGTGGTACGTGTTGTATTCCACCGTAGGTTTAACATCATGAGGGGTGCATAAAATCACATATAACAGATACTGTTCCAAACAAATTTATCTTCCCAACATGCCATGTAAAAGAATTATAAAATAGTGAAAGTTGACTGAAAACAGCTGTTCCATTTAGCTGAGGTGCTGCTGTGTCACGTGACTGTAACGGACTCATGAACTTCTTAATGGAGTATAAAGGGTTAACTCTCCCCACAGACATCATTGCTGGTTGGGTGTAAGCAGTGTTAGAAATAGATTCAAATTGTCACTAGCCAGTGGGGCTATGACCCCAAAATGTCACTAGCCCTTCAGACACTTTACTGGCCCGAATAATTCATGATAATTAATAACCAGCGCATATGAGAATAGTTAGAGTATTTATTTCACAAAATAATTGTTTCAGACTCTGACATTGATGGGACACACTCTAAGAATACCCATACATTTTCAAATTATCTTCATATTGAATTGTCTTAAGGACTTAAAGGTCACATAAACCCTAGGGGGTAAAAATACATAAATCACTAACTGGCATCGCTATAAATGAAACCCCGTCATTAAAACTACTCATTTCGACCTTTAATTGACTTAAATCGACCTTTTTGACAACAGTGCACAATTCTCACCCGCGAACGAAATTTCAACCAATCAGAGCGGCGCGACTCTGTGACGTCATATGAGGAATAGCTTTGAGGGCCGATGCAGAATTCATCTACATTTTAGGGGGTAAATTATCTTGTTTACAGGCTTGTATAAACCTGAAATCGTGACAATTGTTGTGGAAAATGAAAGCTATATGTTCTCACAATCTACTGGCATTTAATTTTGTCTCCTGCTTTGCCTAGTTTCGAAAGTTACAATTTGTTTTCATAGACGCTTCTGTCACAATTGATTGGTGTCGTTAGGCCCTATTTGTATAATGACTGATCCAAATTGATCCCATTTCTGTGTTTTTACCCTCGATATTTAATCATGTCATGTAAAATCTGTTTGTATTCTCAAAACAGTGTCGGCCCATAAGTTTTCACATGCAATACAGCAATTAATACTCCCTTGTTGTAACCCGTGTTAGGTGGTATAAACCTACACATGTTATTTGTCATCATTCACTTGATGGCCAGTTAATGAATTTATAACAGGTATAATTAGTGGTAACACACTTAGATTACCCGACAAAGGTTCCCATTTGGCATTTCTTGTGTCTTGAGTAAATATTCAACATTATAAACATCGATCAAAGGATTAACCGATAACACGCTGATTGATTAATTACTTTTATCTTACACAGCGGAGTTGTCAAAAGGTAGTGTTTATGTATGTAGATTTACTAATCTATACTGAATACACTCTGCCGTGTCGGTGTCTGCATAAAAACAACGTCCTTCTTTCAAAGGATTAACCGGCAATACATTGATTGATTGCCCATTATTGGCTAACTAAATTACTGGTTTTAATGAAAGGCGGACATTATGCAATTAGTTGCCAGGTGTGCTATCTTGGGTGACCAATGAGACTATACACCAATACCTGAAAAGATTTATCACTTTTTCGTATATTAAACTGTTAAAAGACACATCATTTGGAACAGTTTTGTGGATATTGATGGATACATTCCTCAAACAAGGTTTTTAATTTTAATATTTGCATTTTGTTTTTTATTCATTTGTCGTAGCATTCAACAGAATCATTGTTTTCGCCATGAAGTGTAATGAGACAGACAACATACACTAGGGTGTGTGTGCGAATTATGATTCACATTGGCAAACTATAAAATGTCTAGATATTACAGTTCTGTTATAAATTCACTATAAGTATCAGCAGATCGTCAGCTTTTTATTTAGTTTCAAAATGCATAAAAGTATGATAATAAACTAATTAGGATTATAAGACCAAATATAAAGACGTGCACATTGACTAGTATCTACATACTGGTGAGTGGACATTAACCATGTGAATGTAGCAAGAAATTTATCGCTGCCAGTATTGTGACTTCGACCCCCACCTGCGGCTTCCGTGGAAGAAATCGTTATGTTATAAGTTGTGTCATGCAAAATCCTTTTGGTTATGATTCCAATACATATTTAACTATCGAGTAGAAAGTAGTTTTGATTTTCTAACTTGATGAAAACAAACTATAATCTCATTAATTCTAACAGACTTTACGATTTTCAAAAATGGCGGCGCCCTGTCGAGAACATCCACCAGTCTGTGGATAAATGCTATTTAGGTTTGTTTTCACCGAGTTACAAAATCAAAACTACTCTACTGGTAGTAAAATATGTATTTTATTGATTGCCAATAGGATTTTGCATGACATAGCGTATAACATAACAATTTCTCTCCTGGCAACGAGGTGGGTGTCAATATAATACTACTTACAATATTATTGTTACTTCGACCACAACCTCACTTCCGAGGAAGAAATCGTTATGTTACAAGTTGTGTTATGGAAAATCTTTATGGTCATCAATCATATACATATTTTACTATAACTAGTAAGTAGTTTTGATTCTTTAACTTCCGTGAAGCGATCTGAACACAAGTAAGATATCGTTTCAGGCTTCCACAACGCCGCCAGACTCACAAACATAACCCATTTAGCGAATTTCGCGGGGTCCTGTGGAAATCTGTGCATGGTGACACCATCACCCGACCCCTAGGAGCAATTGACGACAAAGCAACGATTCGGCATGTCGTCGTTGATGTCGAGAAATCATCAAAATGATGAGCGTGCTACACACTTTCTATACAACTAACTGAAAATCGTTCCTCATATGACGTCACTGCAGTGCTCTGGCGACAGAGTTACGTAACCTGTCTGTGGTTTCGTTGGGGGGCGAGAGGGAAGCAGGCGACTTTTTGGCCACTTTCAATCGCTCGGTATTAATTAACCACAAGTTTTTAAAGAATAAATTTGGTGTTCCGCATAAGACTAACCACAAATCTTTCATATGTAATGGTTAAAAGAGTAACAAAAAAAAAGTTTAGTGGTTCTTTAAGTCATCATCACTGGAAGAATCCTCCACATCATAATTGTCTGCATCTGAGATGCTGCCATCACTATCATAGCAGTTGTCACAGTCAGAATCTTGAGCTGTGTGGGCCTCACCAACCTCTCCATGATCAGCTCCTAAAGTATCACTTGCCAGGCGGGCCGACTTCAGTAACTTTTGACAGCCCCCAGCAAAGGTCAACTAGCATTTTGCTAGCGGGCTGGCAGTTATTTCGAACACTGGGTATAAGGGTCATATTCACCCACACCAAGGCAGTATACACAGTATACAAGATTGCAGGAGCCAATCAGATCTCAATACTCAGACATGGAGGTAAAATAAAAGTGTTTACACCCAAAATAATCATAATGTGTATACTGCAAAATACAATTGTGGGGTTTTCAGCTCTCTATTCAGCCAAAACCTATCAACACAATACTTGATACACCTTGACTGAGCTGTGTTGACATCCAGCGTAAAGCTGAAACCAGTTATCTGTTAAAGTTTCCCTTACATTGAGGAGATGCAACATCCTCCCTCCGGCTCCAAATTCTCCGTCGTCCTCGCAGCTCTGATACATGATGTCTGAGTTTGGGACTCGGATCCTGAAACAGGGGAGAAGTTAGCAGACAATCACCACACAATAGGGATCACGGAGACAGAAGTACTCGACTTTATTTATTCAAGTCTGGGACTGCATCACTACCAGAAAATCCTCAACATGGCAACATGAGGAAAGTGAGGGTTCATTAAGCAACACTTGTATGAGGGATGACAAAACAGTGCTGAGTCTATCTGTCATCCACTGTAAGGATGGAGCTGGCTGCTAAATATTTTTCAAAGTAATTCCCTCAGTGTTCCACAGATATCTGCAAACAATGCTAGAGTGACTTGAGCCTGCTGGTGTACATGGTGTGGAAGGCTTCCTCCCCAACAGCAGAAACATCATCATTAGCTTCATGGTAGGCACAGACTTCACCAACCTGTAGGCCACGATGTTATGGGTGGCTGCAGCTATCTTTCTGTTCTCAAGCAACTTATTTCTCACCAGCTCAATCTGAAATAGAAACACATCTCGATAACACACTGTCTTAGTTACACACTGTCTTAGTTACACACTGCCTTAGTTACACACTGTCTTAGTTACACACTGTCTTCGTTACACACTGCCTTAGTTACACACTGCCTTAGTTACACACTGCCTTAGTTACACACTGTCTTAGCTACACACTGTTTTAGCTACACACTGTCGAAGTTCAGGCCCCGGTAAGGTAAGGACCTTTTGTGTGTGTCTTCAGGAGGGCGGGGTTTGAGTGTGCATGTCCAAGGGTGTATGTGTGTACAGGGATGTATGTGTGTATACGGGTGTATGTGTGTACAAAGTATATGTGTGTATAGAAGTGTATGTGTACAGGGGTGTATGTGTGTACAAGGGTGTATGTGTGTATAAAGGGTGTATGTGTGTACAGGGTGTATGTGTGTATAACGGGTGTATGTGTGTATAAAGGTGTATAAAGTGTATAGTAAGTGTATGTGTGTATAAGGGGTGTATGAGTGTATAGGGTGTATGTGTGTATAAAGTGTATGAGTGTATTGCTGTGTATGTGTGTATAGGGGTGTATGTGTGTGTAGGGTGTGTATGTGTGTATAGGTATAGTGTATGTGTGTATAAGGGTGTATAGTGTATATAGGGGTGTATGTGTGTATAAAGGTGTATATGTGTATAGGGGTGTATGAGTGTATAGGGTGTATGTGTGTACAGGGGTGTATGAGTGTATTAGGGTGTATGTGTGTACAGGGGTGTATGTGTGTATAGGGGTATATGAGTGTATAAAGTGTATGTGTGTATAAAGGGTGTATGAGTGTATAAAGTGTATGTGTATATAGTGTATATGTGTGTATATAAAGTGTATGTGTGTATAAAGTATATATGTAGTGTATATAAAGTGTATATGTGTATAAAGTGTATATGTGTGTATAGAAGTGTATGTGTGTATATGTAGTGTATAGGTGTATATGTGTGTATAAAGTGTATGTGTGTATAAGGGGTGTATGTGTGTATAAGTGTATATGTGTGTATAGGGGTGTATGTGTGTATAGGTGTATATGAAGTGTATATGTGTATGTGTATAAAGGTGTATGTGTGTATAGGGGTATATGTGTGTATAGGGTGTATGTGTATGTAAAGTGTATATGTGTATATAAGTATATGTGTGTATATGTGTGTATAAAGTGTATGTGTGTATATAGGGTGTATGTGTGTATATAAAGTGTATATGTGTATGTGTAGGTGTGTATATAAAGTGTGTATATGTGTGTATAAAGTGTATATGTGTGTGTATATGTGTAAGTGTATAGTGTATGTGTATAGGGGTGTATGTGTGTATAAAGTGTATGTGTGTAGAAGTATAAGTGTGTATGTGTGTATATGGGTGTATACAGGTGTATGTGTATAAAGTGTGTGTGTATATAAGGGTGTATATGTGTGTATAGAGGTGTATATGTGTGTATGTGTATATGTGTATATATAAAGTGTATATGTGTATATATAGGGTGTATGTGTGTATAGTGTATGTGTGTATAAAGTGTATATGTGTGTATAAGTGTATATGTGTGTATAGGGGTGTATGTGTGTATAGGTGTGTATGTGTGTATGTGGGTGTATGTGTGTATAAAGTGTATGTGTGTGTATATAGGGTGTATGTGTGTATATAGGGTGTATGTGTGTGTATAGGGGTGTATGTGTGTATAGGGGTGTATGTGTGTATAAAGTGTATGTGTGTATAGGGGTGTATGTGTGTGTAGAAGTGTAGGGGTGTATGTGTGTATAGGGTATTATGTATGTGTGTATAGGGTGTATGTGTGTTTCAAGAAGGGCCTTGAGTATAAATACGCTATCAGTAGCCATGTTCAAGAAGGGACTTGAGTATATCATCGCCATCAGTAACCATGTTCAAGAAGGGCCTTGAGTATAATCGCCATCAGTAACCATGTTCAAGAAAGGACGAGTATAAATCACGCTATCAGTAGCCATGTTCAAGAAGGGCCTTGAGTATAACACGCCATCAGTAACCATGTTCAAGAAGGGCCGCGGTATACACGCCATCAGTAACCATGTTCAAGAAGGGCCGCAGTATAAATCGCTATCAGTAGCCATGTTCAAGAAGGGACGCAGTATAAATATCGCTATCAGTAGCCATGTTCAAGAAGGGCGCAGTATAAATCGCCATCAGTAACCATGTTCAAGTAGGACACAGTATAACACGCTATCAGTAGCCATGTTCAAGAAGGACGCGAGTATAAATACGCCATCAGTAACCATGTTCAAGAAGGACGCAGTATAATCGCCATCAGTAACCATGTTCAAGAAGGGCGAGTATAAATACGCCATCAGTAGCCATGTTCAAGAAGGGCGAGTATAATACGCCATCAGTAACCATGTTCAAGAAGGACGAGTATAAATCGCTATCAGTAGCCATGTTCAAGAAGGGCCTTGAGTATAAATACGCCATCAGTAACCATGTTCAAGAAGGACGCAGTATAATCATGCCATCAGTAACCATGTTCAAGAAGGACAGTATAAATCACGCTATCAGTAGCCATGTTCAAGAAGGACGCAAGTATAATAACACGCCATCAGTAACCATGTTCAAGAAGGGGACGAGTATATACGCCATCAGTAACCATGTTCAAGAAGGGCGCGAGTATAAATCGCTATCAGTAGCCATGTTCAAGAAGGGCCGCGAGTATAAATAATGCCATCAGTAACCATGTTCAAGAAGGACACAGTATAATACGCCATCAGTAGCCATGTTCAAGAAGGACGCAGTATAAATACGCCATCAGTAACCATGTTCAAGAAGGACGCAGTATAATACGCCATCAGTAACCATGTTCAAGAAGGACGCAGTATTAATACGCTATCAGTAACCATGTTCAAGAAGGACACAGTATAAATATGCTATCAGTAGCCATGTTCAAGAAGGACGCAGTATAAATAGGCCATCAGTAACCATGTTCAAGAAGGACGCAGTATAAATACGCTATCAGTAGCCATGTTCAAGAAGGACGCAGTATAAAAAGGCCATCAGTAACCATGTTCAAGCACAACATTCATCATACCTCTTCCTTTTTGTAGACTGCAGCGAGATGTGACTGGAACTTGCTTTTCCGATCCCACAGGAACTCACTATGGTAGATGACTGGGCACAGGGCCTCCTCTGGTGAAGATCATTCATAAGTTATATATACAGATTTGTAAAGAGCATGTACACTTGATCTACAGTGGCATGAATTGTAGCTTACAACTCCAATCACAGGATTGTCTAGTCTGGATTTGTCTACTTGCAATCTACTGTCACATAGCTAGTATATTGATGATTCTAAGATGCTTCGGTGAAAGATCAAAGGTGCCAACAGTACTTATCAGACGATAATGTGCACTTTTTGCATTACGTCACAATGTATTGGCGTCACTGCACCATTCTAGTCTGCCCCCTCGTAATCAAACAATTTTGCATTACACAATGTAAGCGACGTCACGATGCATGTCAGTTGTCATCGCCTCGTACAGCCTCCTACAGTAAACTACTCCATTATATCCCGTTTCTTGGTTTGCAGTTGCTTCACCCAGCTAACATCACTAGTGGAAACATTGCGTTTATGTTTACGGTTAAAATGTCTCAATTCTGCCTTAAATTAATCGTAATTATCCTTAGAAAGTATCAAAGGTCACATGCAACCAAAAAATCAAAAATAATTAAAACACAATTATCACTCATTCATGACATATAATATACATTGCTGGTTATGAAAAAACATCAACAAAATTATAAGCGTACAATCGCAAATCAAAAGTGCAATATTGTGTACTTGGGTTTACTTCCCAAGAAACGAAGCAGCCGGGATACCGAACCCAGTCAGAGCGGGTGGGTGTGCACTCAAGTGTAACGGCTGGTTCATTTGCAGATTCCCTCACGGCTCATTGTGTGTGTATATATAGAGATGTTGGGTTTTGTAAATACATGCTTATTTTTTGTGTATAACATTTTGCAATCAACAGACATCATTACATGTCATGTGTTCAAGTATCACACTGCCTGTCTGTGTAATTACATAATGTGACAGAGACCGAACTTGGGCCATAAATCAATGCATTTTGTTTATGGTGTATAGCCTGATTGGTGTTAAGTTCAAATTGCATGTGGTCAGTGATCGCAGTTGTTTATTGAATATTGTCATTAGCAGACAAACAGGCAGACACACAGGTGTCAATAAAACAAGACATTGAGTTTTGTCTGTGACAACGACATATCTATATCACAGTTAGAAATTCTGTCAACGCTAAATAATGACTTTGCTTTTAAGTATCGAACTGAGAAAGTGACTCGGTAAGAACGTGTGGTGAAATACACAAATGAAATTATATAACAGTTTATTTACTGTCATAACATATAAAAAGCTCGCACCTGTGAGATATCAACAAAACATTAGGAAAATAGCTCACATCAAAGCCTTCACCAAGTATTCGCCGGACAGCCCACTTCCAAGTTGCGCGAACCTATTTCACTGCGCACATGCTATGAGCGCAGCCCAGCTGTTGAAACCAGTTTTTCCCCAGTTTGAACTCCGATATCGCGCGGGTTTTTCATCGCGTTATTTTTCAACTTTATAAGTTAAACGTTAAAGCACTCGAACGCAAGCATCCTCTCGTACTTTAACTATAATAGTTCAGGGCGAAAGTGTGCTTTATTTCACTATACATGGTGGTAGAGCGAACTGTATTTCTTAAATGTGACTGGAATATCGGTGAATGTGGCTGGAATATTGCTGAATGTGGCTGGAATATTGCTGAATGTGGCTGGAATATTGCTGAATGTGGCTGGAATATTGCTGAATGTGACTGGAATATTGCTGAATGTGGCTGGAATATTGCTGAATGTGACTGGAATATTGCTGAATGTGACTGGAATATTGCTGAATGTGACTGGAATATTGCTGAATGTGGCTGGAATATTGCTGAATGTGGCTGGAATATTGCTGAATGTGACTGGAATATTGCTGAATGTGACTGGAATATTGCTGAATGTGACTGGAATATTGCTGAATGTGACTGGAATATTGCTGAATGTGACTGGAATATTGCTGAATGTGGCTGGAATATTGCTGAATGTGGCTGGAATATTGCTGAATGTGGCTGGAATATTGCTGAATGTGGCTGAATGTGGCTGGAATATTGCTGAATGTGGCTGGAATATTGCTGAATGTGGCTGGAATATTGCTGAATGTGGCTGGAATATTGCTGAATGTGGCTGGAATATTGCTGAATGTGGCTGAATGTGGCTGGAATATTGCTGAATGTGGCTGGAATATTGCTGAATGTGACTGGAATATTGCTGAATGTGGCTGGAATATTGCTGAATGTGGCTGAATGTGACTGGAATATTGCTGAATGTGACTGGAATATTGCTGAATGTGGCTGGAATATTGCTGAATGTGACTGGAATATTGCTGAATGTGGATGGAATACTGCTGACATATTAAACAAGAAAAACTGATTCTTTAGACCTGCAGGCTTCTTGTGCATGAACTGTGACAGACTAGTGCCACCTGTACTTTCCTTGTCGACATCTCCCCCTGCCTCGTCACCCCTGTCATCCAGGGAGGGGACTGTCCACGCCGAGATCAGGTCATCGGACGAGTCTGTGGACACTGTTGGTGTGTCAGTAGTTGCTGCTGCAGCTGGGAAAGAAACATTTGAAGAAACTCTTAAAGCAAATTTTTGAGAATGTATTGAAGGAATGAAGACATCTGTCTCACAAGCTACCTGCATCAGAGTTTGGACATAATGTCAATCAGGAAACTGACCGTCCACTCTAAACTAATCCACAAGCAGACCTTCCACTCTAAACTAATCCACAAGCAGACCCTCCACTCAACACTAATCCACAAGCAGACCTTCCACTCTAAACTAATCCACAAGCAGACCCTCCACTCAACACTAATCCACAAGCAGACCTTCCACTCTAAACTAATCCACAAGCAGACCCTCCACTCAACACTAATCCACAAGCAGACCTTCCACTCTAAACTAATCCACAAGCAGACCCTCCACTAAACACTAATCCACAAGCAGACCTTCCACTCTAAACTAATCCAAAAGCAGACCCTCCACTCAAAACTAACTGTATAACAATTCACTCACAATTCAATGGTGATATTTACACAGAAGTGCGACAGCATTTGAAAATTCACTATGCAACACAACTATCTGTACCTTCGTATAATTATGTAACATCATAAAGCTAAGCGATACATAATTAGAAACACTTACAAATAATTCGCAAATTCTATTCACATCATGAGATAAAACCAGCCACTTCATCAACCAGCCATATCGCAAGTGTGCTCTCTCATGACTGCACTTATTACACCTGACATTCACCGTATATAGCAGAGATGCCAACCCCAAATTGGTGTAATAAGGAAATCTGAGCTCCCTAAGACAGCAAAAATAAGGAATTTTCCCAACAATTTTTAGGGATCCCTATAAATTGTTGCACTCAAGAAACGAAACCTTTCAATGTCATTACACATAGCGATCCTTATACAACTGAAACCGGCTTGCAGTACTCGGCAGCAGTGTTTGTGAATGGTAAGTGAATAAATATATATATAACAGTGCGTGGAATTAATCAGGCAGCCTACTCAACTTCTGGATGACTTTCTGTGTAAACTGCCGTCATATAGCTGGAATATTGCTGAGTGTGGCGTAAAACTAAACTCCCTTCTTGTGTAAACGATTTGAAACTTCTAATGTCAAAGATGATCCTAGTCCTCCAGTAAGTAACACTATCTATATCTTTGTTATATTTTGAAAAAAATCAGAATGAATTTGGTTTTGTCGGAATGATGGAATCGACATGCATTTTTCGGGATGATTCGGGAGGGTTGGCATCTCTGTATATGGTCACATTTTCCATGCTTTACTCTTCTGCACTCGGCCCACCTTTCATCATTTCTTACACTGACCACACAACCACGACATACAGTCCAACCTCACTACGTAACATATACATTCAAACCAGATTACTATGTGACCTTGACAACACGAGAACAGTCCACAGCAGAGCAGACAGTATCACCAAGACAGTGGACTTACAATCCCATGGTAAGCTACAGGTAATGAATGTTTGCTTTATCACACAAAATAAAAATCTCCCCAAATGAGATCAGCAAAATGCAGTCCTACATTAAATAGATTATTTCTTATACATGTCTCTCACCACTCATGCCTCAGGAAGTTTTGGATAAATATCTGTTAAACTTGTCATTAAATTGGTCTAGCCTGAGTAAGAGGTTGCAGCTGTACCTCCATCGCCTGCTTGAGTCAGTTCTTGTAGAAACTCCCTCGTTCTCTCTATCCACAAGTACAGGATACTCTCACCAAGATTCTCACTGAAACAAGACAAGTAGCACCGGTATAAAAGTGGAGGCCATCATTTCACAAGGAAAGGATGCTCTCACCAAGATTCTCACTGAAACAAGACAAGTAGCACCGGTATAAAAGTGGAGGCCATCATTTCACAAGGAAAGGATGCTAACACCAAGATTCTCACTGAAACAAGACAAGTAGCACCGGTATAAAAGTGGAGGCCATCATTTCACAAGGAAAGGATGTTCTCACCAAGATTCTCACTGAAACAAGACAAGCAGCACCGTTATATAAGCGGTCATCATTTCACAAGTACAGGATGCTTTCACCAAGATTCTCACTGAAACAAGACAAGCAGCACCGGTATAAAAGCGGCGGCCATCATTTCACAAGTACAGGATGCTCTCACCAAGATTCTCACTGAAACAAGACAAGCAGCACCGGTATAAAAGTGGAGGCCATCATTTCACAAGGAAAGGATGCTCTCACCAAGATTCTCACTGAAACAAGACAAGTAGCACCGGTATAAAAGTGGAGGCCATCATTTCACAAGGAAAGGATGTTCTCACCAAGATTCTCACTGAAACAAGACAAGCAGCACCGTTATATAAGCGGTCATCATTTCACAAGTACAGGATGCTTTCACCAAGATTCTCACAAGACAAGCGGCACAGGAGAGGCCATAATATCGCAGTCAGAAGAGGCATTCATGTGCATGCCAGCTGGTTTACGATGCTAGCTGCCCACTAAGATACAATGATGTGGTTTCACACTGATACCCAACAGGCACTGTGTACTGACTCTCTATTGACCAGTCCTGTTGCTGACCACTGAGAAGGGATATAACAAGGACGATCACTGACATTCTTTTGGAATGACCCATCTGCGACTTGAACCATGGACCTTCAGCTCTATGATAAGATGCTTTATCCACTATACCAGAAGGGCGTCTTTGGTTAGAAAATGAACTGAAATTACAACTAGAAATAGACCACACTGTCCAGGACTAGTGAGGTTGTACTATGCATCACTGTGATTCATCACACAAGCATTATTAAACACATCAGTTATAAACACACTTCATTAGACCTAAAGAATGTGAACTAATACATAGTTCATTTGGTGTTTAGTTCAACATGTTAAAACTGTAACATATATGTCCTCACTTAATACAATGTAACAAAAATCACTTTAACCGAATACTGGCATGACCGGCTACCCATAACCGAATACTGGCATGACCGGCTACCCATAACCGAATACTGGCATGACCGGCTACCCATAACCGAATACTGGCATGACCGGCTACCCATAACCGAATACTGGCATGACCGGCTACCCATAACCGAATACTGGCATGACCGGCTACCCATAACCGAATACTGGCATGATCGGCTACCCATAACCGAATACTGGCATGACCGGCTACCCATAACGAATACTGGCATGACCGGCTACCCATAACCGAATACTGGCATGATCGACTACCCATAACCGAATACTAGCATAACCGGCTACCCATAACCGAATACTGGCATGGCCGGCTACCCATAACCGAATACTGGCATGACCGGCTACCCTCCAGCAAGTACTGGCATGAAAAGCTACCCATAACCGAATACTGGCATGAAAAGCTACCCATAACCGAATACTGGCATGACCGGCTACCCATAACCGAATACTGGCATGACCGGCAACCCTCCAGCAAGTACTGGCATGACCGGCTACCCTCCACCAAGTACTGGCATGACCGGCTACCCTCCACCAAGTACTGGCATGACCGGCTACCTTCCACCAAGTACTGGCATGACCGGCTACCCTCCACCAAGTACTGGCATGACCGGCTACCCTCCACCTAGTACTGGCATGACCAGTTACCCTCCACCTAGTACTGGCATGACCGGCTACCTTCCACCAAGTACTGGCATGACCGGCTACCCTCCACCAAGTACTGGCATGACCGGCTACCCTCCACCTAGTACTGGCATGACCAGTTACCCTCCACCTAGTACTGGCATGACCGGCTACCCTCCACCTAGTACTGGCATGACCAGTTACCCTCCACCTAGTACTGGCATGACCGGCTACCTTCCACCAAGTACTGGCATGATCAGCTACCCTCCACCAAGTACTGGCATGGTTGGCTACCCTCCACCTACTACTGGCAAGACCAGCTACCCTCCACCAAGTACTGGCATGACCGGCTACCCTCCACCAAGTACTGGCATGAAAAGCTACCCTCCACCAAGAACTGGCATGAAAAGCTACCCTCCAGCAAGTAGTGGCATGAAAAGCTACCCTCCAGCAAGTACTGGTATTATCGGCTACCCTCCACCAAGTACTGGCATGACCGGCTACCCTCCACCAAGTACTGGCATGAAAAGCTACCCTCCACCAAGTACTGGCATGAAAAGCTACCCTCCAGCAAGTACTGGCATGATCCGCTACCCTCCACAAAGTACTGGCATGACCGGCGACCTTCCACTAAGTACTGGCATGACCGGCTACCTTCCACCAAGTACTGGCATGACCGGCTACCCTCCACCAAGTACTGGCATGAAAAGCTACCCTCCACCAAGTACTGGTATGATCGGCTACCCTCCACCAAGTACTGGCATGACCAGCTACCCTCCACCAAGTACTGGCATGACCGGCTACCTTCCACCTAGTACTGGCATGATCAGCTACCCTCCACCAAGTACTGGCATGACCGGCTACCTTCCACCTAGTACTGGCATGACCGGCTACCCTCCACCAAGTACTGGCATGACCAGCTACCCTCCACCAAGTACTGGCATGAAAATCTACCCTCCACCTAGTACTGGCATGCCTGGGTACCTTCCACCAAGTACTGGCATGATCAGCTACCCTCCACCAAGTACTGGCATGACCGGCTACCCTCCAGCAAGTAGTGGCATGACCGGCTACCCTCCACCAAGTACTGGCATGAAAAGCTACCCTCCACCAAGTACTGGCATGATCAGCTACCCTCCACCTACTACTGGCAAGACCAGCTACCCTCCACCAAGTACTGGCATGACCAGCTACCCTCCACCAAGTACTGGCATGACCGGCTACCCTCCACCAAGTACTGGCATGAAAAGCTACCCTCCACCAAGTACTGGCATGAAAAGCTACCCTCCACCAAGTACTGGCATGACCGGCTACCCTCCACCAAGTACTGGCATGATCAGCTACCCTCCACCAAGTACTGGCATGGTTGGCTACCCTCCACCAAGTACTGGCATGAAAAGCTACCCTCCACCAAGAACTGGCATGAAAAGCTACCCTCCACCAAGTACTGGCATGACCGGCTACCCTCCACCAAGTACTGGCATGACCGGCTACCTTCCACCAAGTACTGGCATGACCGGCTACCCTCCACCAAGTACTGGCATGACCGGCTACCCTCCACCTAGTACTGGCATGACCAGTTACCATGACCGGCTACCCTCCACCTAGTACTGGCATGACCTGGGCTACCCTTCCACCAAGTACTGGCATGCCTGGGTACCTTCCACCAAGTACTGGCATGATCAGCTACCCTCCACCAAGTACTGGCATGACCGGCTACCCTCCACCAAGTACTGGCATGAAAAGCTACCCTCCACCAAGTACTGGCATGAAAAGCTACCCTCCACCTCCAGTACTGCATGACCGCTACCCTCCACCAAGTACTGGCATGATCAGCTACCCTCCACCAAGTACTGGCATGGTTGGCTACCTCCACCTACTACTGGCAAGACCAGCTACCCTCCACCAAGTACTGGCATGAAAAGCTACCCTCCACCAAGTACTGGCATGACCGCTACCCTCCACCAAGTACTGGCATGAAAAGCTACCCTCCACCAAGAACTGGCATGAAAAGCTACCCTCCAGCTGGTGGTGGATCGTAACTACCCTCCACCAAGTACTGGCATGAAAGCTACCCTCCAGCAAGCTACCCTCCAGCAAGTACTGGTATGATCGGCTACCACCTCCACCAAGTACTGGCATGAAACCGCTACCCTCCACCACATACTGGCATGAAAAGCTACCCTCCACCAAGTACTGGCATGATCCGCTACCCTCCACCAAGTACTGGCATGATCCGCGACCTTCCACAAAGTACTGGCATGACCGGCTACCTTCCACCAAGTACTGGCATGACCGGCTACCCTCCACCAAGTACTGGCATGAAAGCTACCCTCCACCAAGTACTGGCATGAAAAGCTACCCTCCACCAAGTACTGGTATGATCGGCTACCCTCCACCAAGTACTGGCATGACCAGCTACCCTCCACCAAGTACTGGCATGAAAAGCTACCCTCCACCAAGAACTGGCATGAAAAGCTACCCTCCACCAAGTACTGGCATGACCGGCTACCTTCCATCAAGTACTGGCATGATCGGCTACCCTCCACCTAGTACTGGCATGAAAAGTTACCCTCCACTAAGTACTGGCATGACCGGCTACCCTCCACCAAGTACTGGCATGACCGGCTACCCTCCACCAAGTACCTACATGATAATGGCAACATGTAAGGCAAGACTACTTACAGATATATATCTTGTAATGCATTTTCCAGCTGCAATCGACTTTCACCTCGGAGCCAGGGTGCACTGATAAAGAAACAGAGGAACCAATACTCCACACAGGAGATGCACAACACATATCACAGTGACCTGCAACTGACAGATTTACTTAGTGTGGTGATCAGGTTTTCAGCAGCTCTACTTGTCTCATTATAAATACTGCTCACTACTGCATACTACAGGTTATCATGTATACTACAGGTTATCATACACACTACAGGCTACTGCTGCATACTACATGTTATCATGTATACTACAGGTCATCATGAATACTACAGGTTATCATGAATACTACAGGCTACAGCTGCATACTACATGTTATCATGTATACTACAGGTCATCATGAATACTACAGGTTATCATGAATACTACAGGCTACAGCTGCATACTACATGTTATCATACATACTACAGGCTACTGCTGCATACTACAGGTTATGCATACTACAGGTTAAAGCTGCTTACTACAGGCTATTGTTGCATACTACTGGTTACAGCTGCATACTACAGACTACAGCTGCATACTACAGGTTACAGCTGCATACTACAGCTTACTGCTATATACTACAGGTTACAGGTGCAAACTACAGGTTACTGCTGCATGCTGTAACATACACCTCCATACCTCTGCTGACTTGTGTCATGAAGACTATGCTTTTTAAATGAAATATGTTGAAAGAATCAAGGAGATTGAAAATTAGTGTTGTCATAATGAAAAGTTTATTTGACATGTAATCAAGGAAAAACCAAAATGGTTTTATGACAATGGGTTGAAGCCCAAGGATGCAATCTAACAATAAAGTGTTCCCTAATCACCTACTTGACACGGTACTGAGGGGGAGCACCACTTGGATATTCCACTGGCAGAATCACCTGCAGAAACACATTCATGTAATATAATACAAGTATAACTGATAATTCACAAAGACAGTGCTATAAAATATATGTAACAAAATATTCATGTCAGTCTATTATCAATAGTTGTCTCCCCTTCCTCCCTGTCAATTTTGAAGCTGTGTTTGTTTCATACATCATGTACGCTGACCCCAGACCGAGGTCACTGGTTTTCAAACAAAGAAGATTCCTAAGCTTCATAAAAAATGACCATAAAAGACAACGTAGTAGATGCAAGAAAATTGATCTAAATATTGCTGTTGCAGCAACTTACCGACAGCCTGAGTTGCAGGTTCCCTGACTCCGAATCACCCTGTATGTCGATGTAGTAGTGACGGGTAGCCTCATCTTCGACATGCCACTCATCACCATATATGGAAGTCAACACTTCAATCTCATCTATCTACAACAAATTCAGTTTCATTCACGAAACAAAGGTACAATCTGTGTTGGCGGTTTAAGGACAGAGTTGCTGCGTCACATTGACTCACAATAAAACAGTATATTTTCATGCCATTATATAGTTATTGAACAATAATCGTATCAATTGAAAACAAAACATCAGTAAACCATTTAATTCTTTACAAGACATGAATAGTTATGGTCCTCTACAGTACTGTCTTGGAGCGTTTGACAGAATGATTTGAAAGAAACAAGCTTTATCTATAATGAACCTGCAGATGATGGACTGTACTCATTTTTATCCTTTTCAGTCGGTTTAGTGAGCGAGTTTAGTTTTATGCCGCACTTAGCAATATTCCAGCTATAAGTCTTAGCTTTTCACATCCACTACCAACCACAAGAATACAACAAGGTGTTCTGCATACATTTAATGAAAATTATTGACATGACATATAGCTTCTATCATATCGGGACACATTTTGTGTTGTGAAATTAAGGTGAAAAGAACACCAGCATATTGTTTAGAACATATAAACCAATTCGAACAACAGTGTATCAACATCTTCAACGTCCTGTCTATTTCTCCGACCTATCGAGGTAGGTGGAACTGGCTACTGCAGACTAGATCAAGATGTACAGATGAAGGTAGATACTCGACAAGTATACACCTGTATATACAAAATCAAGGACATATTCCCAATCAGTGTCAAAGAAATCATGTTATTTAGAGCTGAAAATATCACTGACCACATGTGTAACATTAACAAAACTTGTGACAGGACTACTACATAACACACCAGTAACTGGCATATCGATGAATTTACCTGTTGTCGGTTCCTTGTCTTTGTGCGACTGCTTCTTTTCGACATAACTCGAGTTTGATCGTGATTGCGAAATATCTAAATTAAATTCCAAGTAAGTTTCATTATTAGCTCAACCAAAAATACCCTCTATCCAAGTTTCGTTTTACAATTCTGGGAATAACTAACTTTCGGTTTCAGGATGTTTGAGCGAAGTCAACGCAACGAGTAACAATTATTTGATCATTCGACAATAAACACAAGTTGTTGTCATTTTCTCACCTGCTTGGAAAGGTTATCTTCCTTATCCTCTTCCGCCATCGCGGCTCTTTCATGCGAACTATACGGTTGAACAGGTTGAATTCGAGCTTGCACAATCATTAGTGTAGAGGGTGAAAAGAACAGGAGATATTACACAGCCTTGTGGTGCACCAGTGTTGGTGGTCCGTTTACTCGATACAGCCCGTTAACTTTCACGTACTCCATGGTGTCTGTCCACAAGAAAGTTTTCGATCCACTTGATAGGTATGAGTTAACGCCCATGTCTAACAGTTTCTGTATCATGATATGTGGCTGGATAGTGTTGAACGCAGATGAAAAGTCAACGAAGAGGATCCTGATGTATAACTTAGGTGTCTCTAGATGTTTATAGACATTATTAAGGACTGACAGTGTGGCATCAACAACTCCTTCCCTTGACCTGTAGGCGAACTGAAGCGGGTCCAGTATGTCGGCAACTTCCTGACGGAGATGTTACAACAAGATGCGTTCCAACGACTTCATTGATATACAAGCGAGTACGGTAATTCTGCGCAGCTGCAATAGCGTACTTTCCGTATCGAAGGTAAACATCGTCTGCTACCACATTTACGCTTGAAATCGGGACATTTCTACAAGGGACTGGCTTTTAATCACTAAAGGTAAGTAAGTAACAGTAATTGACAGTTTTATGACTGAATTCGTTTTCTTCAGACTTTTAAACCTTTTTCTTCATTCTTCATAATTGGATTTAATATGAAACACTCTTCCTTACATTGATGAAGTGATTTTTGAAAATAATCTGGCCTAATACGCTTCCATACTTCCGGATCTCCCGCTGGATGTTTTGCGCATCAGCTGCTGCGCAGAATTACCGGACATCAAGCGATGTCGTCAGAACGCCGGTAAGGCCAACCGTATGGCATAATGCAACATTAGAATCTTATAATCTTATAGTCGTCAATAAAACATATTTCTAGGTAAATATGATGTATACCAGCATGTTTAGTCACATAAACTACAACAAATAAGAGACGTTAGATGCCGTGTTGCGATCGATGTGCTTAGAGGTGCGGAATTACCGGACGGCATTGTATGTAGTATTCTGTATACAGAAAGGTACTCAAGCCAAAAAGAGATTACAGAAACTTACATTAGGACGAGTCCATTCCACATTGTGCCGTTTTCTTTATCCGAACTGTCATACTGTTGTATGAGATGCATTCGAATGCGTAAGTAAGGAGCACTCAGACACAACAGTGTCAACGCGAAGTTGAATATTTCATTGAGGCACACCAACTGTAATGTTATCATGCGAACGGAACTATAACATGAACTGGTTTCTGCCGTTTAGAGTACCGGGTACGTTTATGTATTTTTACCATTTTAGGTTACATACTGTAGTACCCGTGACGTCAACGACGCCCTCAACGTTAAGTATTTATTTATTTGAAAATATTTTATTCAGTGTTGAAATGGATTGGGCACAAGTTATGTAACTTATTACCGCCCGCTCTCATCAGAAACATGAACAATAATGAATGGACATAATAACATTAAGACATATTAATGAAATACGTTAATTAAGAAATACAGTTCGCAAGCGTCATCGTACTTTAACTATAATAATTCAGGGCGAAAGTGTGCTTTATTACTCTATACATGGTGGTAGAGCGAACTGTATTTCTTTTCTAAGATGCCAAATTTAATACTTTCTAAGGATAATTACGATTAATCTACAAACGACGGTGTCGGTGTCCTAAATTTAGAATCCTCGCACAGGGCTAACTGGCGCGCTGTTCTATTGATGTGTCTGCCCCCCTACGTTAAGACGAACGTTACCGAAAAATAAATAAATGATAAACAGTTTGATGACGATTTTTTTTCGGATTAAATATCTTCTCTAAATTATTTTAATTACATCTGTGATTAACGTAAACCATATGGGGCAATATGAACGTCGCATTTCTACTACCAACGTATGTTTAGATCAGTACACCCAGATGAAGCTGAATAGACAAGCGATATTCCACGATTGCATTGTGGGAATATAAACATTGCGAACGTTAAGATAAGATAAGATAATTCTTTATTGTCCCAAGGGAAATTTGTTTTGCATCATAAGTTCTCCAGTTTTTCATTCATACTGACTGACTGAGTTTAGTTTTACGCCGCTTTTAGCAATATTCCAGCAATATCACGGCGGGGGACACCAGAAATGGGCTTAACACATTGTGCCCATGTGGGGAATCGAACCCGGGCCTTCGGCGTGACGAGCCAACGCTGTAACCACTAGGCTACCCCACCGCCCCTTTTTCATTCATAAATCAGCAGTAGATAACATTGCAATTGGTAATCATGAAATAATCAGGATATAAATACATCAATTTAGTACACAAACATAGATATTGAATAGAATTTGGACAATTAAAAGACAAGTCATTCACAGAATTCGTTGTTAATGCATCTAATACTAGCTGGAACAAATGAGTGGCGAACCCTGTTTGTTCTAAAAGCCGGCATGCGCAGCCTGCGCCCAGAAGGTAATGATGAATATTCAGAAAATAGTATGTGAGTAGGATCACTTAACATTTGGTTTGCCTTTTTTTTAAATTTGCTGCTCATAACAACTGCCGATATTGGCCAGTGATGTTAGATGCGTGAAGCAACTGCAAACCAAGGAACGGGATGCAACGGAGTAGTTTACTGCAGGAGGCTGTACGAGGCGATGACAACTGACATGCATCGTGACGTCGGTTACATTGTGACGTAATGCAAAATTGTTCGATTACGAGGGGGCAGACTACAATGGCTCAATGACGCCAATACATTGTGACGTAATGCAAAAAGTGCACATTATCGTCTGATAAAGTACTGTCGGCGCCTTTGATCTTTCACCGAAGCATCTTAGAATCTAGCTTAGATACTTTTACTAAACTTCGATATTAACAACACTCGGTATAAAATCGTCACCTCATAAATTTGGAACTAGCTGAACTTGCTGTTATAGAACTGTGCCCCACCCAACCACGACCCTCCCGTGTTTATCTTGTGTAGGAGCTGTGTGAGATTTCATAAACTGCCAGTCTTGTTTATACCTTATCTTTGTAAAGCATAATCTCTGTTAAATGTCACACCTATACATTTTGTTATCTATTGCACATAAGTCAGAAGTATATAGTACTAAGATAGCGGACAGAATGTCTGCGGTAAAGGTACCGTTCATAATTTATGGCCAGGTGGGTGATGATTTTTATGGAGAGGCATGTACAATGTGAATGCCCTCTCCCCAATCAATGACACCCCACACACCCTAATTATTTCAAAGCATAATGTTTTTGATATATTAATGTGTAAAAATGCTGTCCCCTGCCCTTGGTACATATGTACAAAATTAATTACCTCCCAGAACAAAAGGGTGACCTCTCCCCTCCCTAAAATTATCATCACCTCCACTAGCCATAAATTATTAAGGGTCCTTAGTTGGATACCTTGTGTATCATCTAAAGACAGCACAGGTCAGTGGAAATACATGCCCCTGCATGTCCAGTGGAGAAAGCCTCCTACCTCCTCTGTATCTGTGTATAGTGGGCTTTGTGTTGTGTCTCCTTATCCTATACCATAATCTTACATAATGACAATATCATACACCTATCTAAAACTCATCACCAATATATTTCCATTTGTATCACTCACTGAAATACTTTAAAGAAAAGAACAATTTTTCTTGTGTTAGTGGATTAATATAACATAACAAATGATACCTTTGAAAACAACTTCTATTTTAACTGTGGAAGACAGCAGATTATCTCCTGAAATACTATGTTTGGGCGGGGGCAATAGATTTAGGCACATATACACAAGAATAATAATTGGATGAACATTGAGAAATTATGGATTATCTGTTCAAAGATTATTAATTTTATAATAATATTTATGCACCAGTAAAGATTTTTTTCAACACTTATTTATGAGGGACTGATACTCCGTAATTCGAGTTGCTAACAGGTTATGCATGTATTTTGTATAACCCATTTATACATGCGCTATATAAATATGCATGTATTTTGTATAACTCTTTTGGGAGAATGAGGGTTTGGACACAATCAATGCAAGGCGAACAACAGGAACAGCCAATCAGCATGAAACAAAGCATATGACCGCTCAATGAACTAAAGACAGTTGAACTATATTCCAGACACTGATGGTAACAGAGGAACATATTTAACCCAGAGGAGAACACTTGTGAGAAAAAGCAAATATCTAAGACAGCATGAAATACAAAAGTGATACTACATCTACATCCTCTTTACTTGCTTAGGCATTGTCATTTAAATGAAAACAAAACACAAAGAACTTGGGTAAATATGCTATCTCAGACATACATATTCTCTAAGACTAGCGATATTATCAAGAAACAACCATAGAAAGCGTGCAGATACACGTAGCTTCTGGTGCAGTCAGACCTATCTGCAGTGGTTAAGTCCACTGAGACTCAATGTTTTAAGTGGCGATATATGAGGTGGTTGTTGCTTGACTGCCTTGTTTATCTACAATATTTGTAATGAACCTAATTTATTGCTGGGGTGGGGGGATGGGGAGGGGTTTGATTTTAAGCAAAGGGTATTTTAAGCAATATTGTAAATAATAATATTAAAAAATGATGCTTATAAATTAAAGGAGGGGAGGGGGACAGCACTAATTTTGTACATGACATGCAGGGGGTGGGGGGCATCTTTTACTTTGTACATAAATTTTAGGGAGGGTTATTTACATTGTACATGATTCTCCACTAAAATCATCATCTACCCTAGCCATAGGAAAATTATGTGCTGGTCCCTAATAAAGCTGAGGGACTGCCTTAAGTATAACACAACATTTCTCATGAAGATTGGTTAATACTGGCA